GAAACATTAAAAGCGAAGCATTTGAAATTTCAACCATTGGGTGCTTCAATACATATTGGAGAAATTGTAGATATATCTTTGTGCTCCTGGAAACCTATAATAATGACAGCATGTAAGTGTAGTAATTTTGCCTCAGTCAGATATGTATTGACTGTTCATTTACTTTATCCAACACTAGCCAGAGATCAGACTATACGTATCTGGAACTATGAAACGGAAAAGGTCGAATTGGTGCGAAAATTTCAGGTAGACGTCAATATAGTAGAACTGAATTCGACTGGTCTTATAGCTGCTATAGGATTTTCGGATCAGTTGCGTATAACTCAAATATTTATGGATGAACTGAACGTAAGTCGAAAATTGCAATTGTTTACTTCTATGGCAATGATTGTTGTATTTCGTTTACAGATTGTTAAAACGTATAACTTTCCAAGATGTAAGGACGTTAAATATTCCAATTATGGACATTTAATGGCTGCAGCTTACGATAGCAGCATTGCAATAACATCTGTCTACAATTTAGAGGTGTTGATGACACTCAAGGGACATAATGGCATAGTTTTATCAGTCTCGTGGACGAAAAATGACAAATATTTAATATCGGGAGGAAATGAAGGAGCAATTTATCAATGGGATGTGGAAACTGGTGTGCGTATTCAAGAAATCGTTCAAAAGGGTACAGAGTATGTGTCCGTGTGTTCTAGTTTCAACGAGCCCCTATCAATATTTGCTGCTACCAATTCGGGTTTATTGAGAGAATTTCAAAAATCAGAAATTGTTCGCGAACTGACAATACCGTCAACAACCACAAAGGCAAAACTAACAGACGTCTGCCTTGCACGTTCAGATTCGATTATGTTTGTGAGTAATGAAGTGGGTGATCTAATCAATGTTCAGTTGCCATTTTTGGATGCTGGAGGTGGAACTTGTACGAACTTTCGTTTTTTTATAACTCGTATTAACAAGTTGCGATTTTCATATGATGGCACCTTGTTGATTGCCATTTCCAAAGGCGGTACTCTGGCCATATGGGCACTGGAAAATATAGAAGGAAAAGTGGCAAGCATGGACCAGGACCTACTTAGAAGCCAGGAGGTTTTAATACCTCGTAATATATTGGCAGAAAAAAATGAACAAATCATTAATTTGGAAATTCGTCTGAAGCAACAAGCTGAAGAATTCCAATACCAACTGAGTCAAAATGAAATATTCGATGGTCAGCAAATGGCTGAAGTGCACAGAAGTTATTGTCAAGCTCTGGAGGAACTAAAGCGCATGAATAACGAAATTGAGGAGCGACATACTGAGGAAATGAATCAGATAACATTTCAAATAAACGATCTCAAAGAAGAGCATAAAAAGCAACTGGACAACTTAGCCAATCAGTATTCGGAACGTATGCTAATTGAATATCAAAAATTTACCAATTTACGTGAAAGTATGTTGGAGTTGCGGGAGAGTTATGAAGAAAAACTAAAGAAATCTGCTGGCACCTTACAAGACACTATTGAGGGTCTGGAAAGCGACTACAAAAAGCAGTTGGATGAACGAAAAGAGCTAATAAGAGAACTGATGAAAGAAATGCAAGATAAAAAAATCGAATTCGTTGAATACTGCCGTCAGGTTGAGGTGGAAAATGATCGAAATATGGTGGAGACTCAATTGCAGTATGAGAAGCGCTTGACTACAGAACGCAATGAGACTCAATTGTGGCGCGGTAAAGCAGGAGTTTTGCAAAAGAAATATGAAGGTCTCACCAAAGACGTTGACAACTTGCTTGAAGAAGTAGAGACTCTAAAGGAAGAACACAACAAATCGCAGAGAACTATTGCACGTCTAAATCGTAATATAGAAGACCTACAAAAAGATATATCGGATCGTGAGTATGCAATCAATGCAAAGGAGAAACGCATACAGGAACTTTTACATAAAAATCAAGAACTGGACAAATATAAGCAGGTTCTTAATCACAAAATAGCTGAACTAAAAGCCCAAATAGAACCGAGGGAATTTCAAATTAACGATAAACGTAAACATATAATGGAAATGGAAACTGAATTGGCAGGTCTCAATCAAAACAATTCCCATCTGGAATTACAACTAAAAGAACTGAAAGACAAATACCTCAGCAATGTTGCTGATCTAAAATTGGAAAGACATCGAGCCCGCGCTGGTCGCGAATGTATACAAAATCTGTGTAGTGAAATTTACCACATCGCCGGTCTCATAAACTCTCCCGACAAATTAAAAGTGGCGGTAAAGGAACTCTTTCAACGACATGCTACTGACGATGAACTCAAACGTTTTATATCTCTCGACGCTAATGTACGTGACGAATTTCAGCGTCAGAGAAATCAAATAGAACGAGTAATGAAAATGTATACAAATCGTAAAGATGATCAGAATCTAAAACGTAAATATGATAAGCTCTTTAAAGAAAATCTAATACTCTTAGATGAAATTGAAAAGATGCGCGAAGAAAACAAAATTTTAAAATCTCATGTAAAGCGAGAAATTCATCTTAAAAAGAAAACTACGGCTTTATCAACAAATGTTTCAAAACGACAAGGAACTAAATCCAACAAAAACGAGGACTCCACAAGAGACTTTGAGGAGTTTAGTGAATTCTTAGATGAGGCCGTAGGCGGTAACATAAAAAATGTACAAAAAGGATTATCAACAAAAGTTAACGACGATAATGATGAAGGTAAAGATGTTGTATGCGATTTATAATTACATACACAGTTTTTAAACGACATAATAACTGTGAAAAGTTATTGGAATTTGAATTATTTGCATTTTTTATTTAATTTTTTTTTTAATAATTTGCTACATATTGGAAAACATTTTTGATTAAACTATGTAAGTGTTTTTGCAGATATGTATGTATATTTTTATTATTATTTTAATAATGTAATCGTAAATTTATATTTTGCAAAACTCTAAATTTTGTAGGTTTATTTTTATTAGTATTTTAATAAAATAAATACATAGAGTATAAAATCTTAACTATTTTCCGTCCATTTTAATAAAATTAATCTTGGGCTTTAATAATTTCGTAGCTAGAACATCTATAAACTTTTTGCGCTCTATGACATACATACGAATTAACCAGATCTACATACATATATAATCTTAAAAGTCTATACGCACATACTTTTAATTATTTCTTATTACAAACACTTTTAAAACATTTTGTCATTAAAAACCTGGTAGCTTTTTATATTTTTAACATATTTTTAACATAAAAATTGAAATAGAAATCTATTGTCGATTCAATAGTGGATAGAAGCAGAATTGATTGTCGAAAAGTCGACCATTAAGAGTTGATTTTTTATTTAAAATAGATCCCCTACTAATTTCATGTTTTAAAAATGTGACTGATGGCAACACTGTAATTACTGGAAGAAGAAGAAGAATAAATTCACCACTTTGCGGTTTGTTGACATTTATTATTCATTGGGATTGAGTGCTACGTTTATTTTTGTTGTTGTCGATTGTAGTGAAATTGCATTTGAAATGCAATTGAAAATAGAACAATTTGTAAATTTGTGTTAAAAATACTCGAAATCATGTTGCCTGGTGTTGGTGTTTTTGGAACGGGTGCAATAACTAAAGTATTGGTGCCTATTTTACGTGAAAAGGGCTTTGAAATTAAAGCATTGTGGGGTCGTACTCTACGAGAAGCAGAAGAAGTGGCCACAGCCCAAAGTATTGCTTTCTACACAAATAAAATTGATGATGTTTTGCTGCGCAAAGATGTAGATTTGGTATTTATTGTATGTCAACCGTATTTACATGCGGAAATTTCTGTAAAGGCCTTGGGCATCGGCAAACATGTTGTGTGTGACAAACCGATGGGCCTGAACCAGGCCGATGCCATGAAAATGGTCAGAGCATCACAGTATTATCCGACATTAATTTCGCTGGTTAATCACTCATTACGATTTTTGCCCGCATTTACCCACATGAAGAGATGTCTACAGGACGGTGTAATTGGACCTTTGAGCGATATTTCATTGGTGGATATAAGGGTGCAATTGGGGTCGCTATTTCCTGACAAGTTCGATTGGATGTGTGATGCGGCCATGGGTGGAGGTGCCCTAAATTTGGTGGGCAGTCATGTAGTTGACTTGGTAAGCTTTCTATTGCATCAACATGCTGTGCGAGTGCATGGTGTCGTCAAGGCGTATACAAAGACCACAACAAATGTCAATGGTATACGACAGATATCAGCCCCTGACTTCTGCAATTTTCAAATGGAACTTGCAAATGGCACTTTGATAACAACATCAATACACAGTCACACGGTTCCGGCCAAGACGTTCTCTCAAGAAGTTTTGATATGCGGCAGTCAAGGACATTTGTCGGTTCGAGGAGGTGACTTGTTTGTGTTTAAACACAAACCTGAAGCCCAATTAAAAGAGGAAGCCGTTTATGTGGATGTTCAAGATTTGCACATTGCCACCTCGGACTCGCTACTGCCACGACTCTACATCAAAGGCTTATGCAAAATGATTGGTGCTCTTAAAGAATCATTTGCTGGCAAAGAATCTTCATGGGTTAAGGAACCCGTTCAAGCAGCAGCTACTTTCGAGGACGGCCTTTACGTGCAGGCTGTTTTAGAGGCAATACGAAAGTCGAGCGAATCTAAGGCCTGGCAAAGGGTGCAAATTACTTCCGACAATCCATCAAATCATGATCAAATAATGCGTTTCGCCCGTATGTCTACAATGTAAGGGTCAGCAAACATAATTATAATTTTCAGAGATTATATTAATTTAATTTTAAACTTTCAAATTGTTTCACATATTCGTTAATGGAATGTGAACAATTCTTTCAAAGTATTTTCTATTTCAATAAATGAACAAATTTTTTTAAGATTGTAGCCTATAAATATATGGTTTGTCTATTTATTCTAAATCTAAATAGTGGACTAAAAGGAAAAATCTTTATTTTCCTTTAAAATCATAGTGTTGTTTTTCAATAAACATTGCTTATTAAATTCTAAGAACTTTGTAGAAAAACTTTATTTTTTAATTCCATTTCAACTTTTTAGTAACAGCCTATTCGTTCACGTACTATTGCATTTGAAATAAATTCCCAATGGAAATGATAGATCGTACGAACGAAGAAACTGTTAATATATAAAGTAGTACATAAAAATATATACAGCAAATTATTTAAAAATATACACGGACTTAATCTAAAATTATGCCACACAAAAATGATTAATCTAGTAAACAACGAAGATTAATCATCATCATTTGTTAAAAAAGCTTAATTCCATTGCGTAATTTACTTAGGCTTCTAGTAAAACTTTAGCAGGTTTTTCTTTTGTTTTAACTTCTTTGGTCGGTTTCTCTCCTTCTACTACCTCGTCATCCACATTGTTAGGTAGAGTATCGTTGGGGACTTCTGGCAGTTTTATTTCAGCTGTTGTCTCGTCTTCTTCAGCTACTAAAGCATCTAATTCTGCCAATACATCATCTTCATCTTCTTGCGTCAATGCATCCGAAAGTATTGAATCGATTTCTTGTTGCTTCTCAATTCCTTCCCGAGTCTCATCCATGATTTTCTCAATTTCATTAATATCTAGTATGTCATGCATTTTCTTCAGGGCTGCATTGCCTTGCTTAAGGCCATCTAATACTTGAATCTCAACCTGGGCAAACTCAATATCAGCGGCAAGTTTTTCAAGATTTTCTAGTTGTTTATCAGTATTTGAAAGCAGATTTTCCTGGAATTTTTTCTTGCGTAAAAGTAATTTTGCCCGTCTGTAAAGAAATTGAAAACATTATTTACAATTAACATTGCGAAGGGTACAATCTAAATACTCTTTTCTTCCTTGTGATAGACATTTTCTAGCCAATTGTCTATCATTTTCCAAAGACAACTCAATACGTTTTTGGTATTGTTTCAAACGATCTCTTTGCTGTTTAAGTTGCTGCAGTAGGAACGATTGTATGTATATTAATGTTTAAAAAGTTTCTTTTCATATCAATTTCGTTTTTCTACTTACTAAAACTGCTTTGTCCTGTTCTGTTACTCTACTTTGAGGCTTTTTAGTTTTTGTAAATAATCCTCCCATATTGATGATTAGTTAGTTTATAATTATTGTATTTAATTTAAGAAATATTTGAAGTTATTCCTGAATTCTTGTAAAAAAATATTCGACGTATTTATTACAAAAAATATTTTGATATTGTATATTATGTACTCATATACTCATACATACTTCATATTTGTAAATTCACCACAAAGAAGGTAAACAAAAGTCATATGTTCGTACATTAATCTCCAGTAGTATTGCCAAGTAAATAAAACTATATATTGTGGAAATTTTTTAGTTCCACTTTTCAAAATAATTTTGGGCTGATAATTCAAACTTCGAAAAATTATTTATAAATACTCTATTTTTACTGCAATGCCATTATATTTTTATTGTTGCAAAAGTTAAACAATTTTTTATAAAAAATCCACACAGTTTTTGTATTATATGTATTATTCAATATTATATTACAGTACTATTTACGGACTATTTTAATGCAAGGAATTTGAGTTTTTTTTAGGAAAGGTTCAATTGTTCGAAAGTCGTCCATTTATGTATAAAAATGTTCAAAATAACGTTACAGGCTTCAGATTGTTGCATATATGTACATATGTATATGTATACAAATTAATATGCGATTGTTTTTCTATTGGTACCATTTGGAATTAAAAATAAAAAATGTAAAATGCCATCACTGATAAAGACAACAAAAAAAAATTGCATACTTTGGATTTGATTAGATTTTTAATTTTTGTGTTAACAGTATAAATTGGGCATTTAAAAGAGCATTTTAACTATAATTCGGAGAATAAGAAAATGCTTCTTAACTTAGCTAGAAATCGTCTAGTAAACAACAAACTAATAAATTTTACATATAGAATGGTAGACATGTACTTTGATTTAAGAAAAATAAAATGAAAACAATCATAGATTTTATATTTCAACACTTTTAGTCGTCACAACTGATCAAAGTCCAAATAAAACCAGGCATCATTGTTGGTCAGCAAAAATCATTACCCAATGGAAATTTCTATCAAAGTTTTCAGGGTATACCCTATGCAGTTCCTCCATTAGGCGAATTACGCTTTAAGGTAAATTTAATGTCCAATTAGAATAACAATTATGTATATTGTTTTCAATTTAACAAGTCTCCACTGCCATTGGAACGTTTTGGAGTTCCTGAATTGAGTTGTCTGAAGGAATGCGATGTTTCTCATCAGCGCCATCCGCTTACTGCAGAAGTGATAGGATCAGAAGACTGTTTATTTTTAAATGTTTATGTTCCAAAAAGTTCAGAGACTTTGTCTAAACCACTTCCGGTTATGGTATGGATTCACGGAGGTGGATTTTGGTTTGGCAGTGGAAACAGTGATTAGTGAGTATTTTCGTTGTATTCTTAAATATTAAATTAGTACATCCTGCTTAAAACCAAATTAAATTTTTTAGTTAAATTAAGTTTTTTAATCAAAAATGAAATGCGAAATGATTTATTTTAGAAGTACATGAGTAGTTAGATTTTATTTTACTACTTCGCCAAATCAACGATCATTTAAAGTAATAAATCTGACTCTCAATTTGCAGTCATTTACCCTTAAGCCTCATACAAGAGGATGTTATTGTCGTTACATTGAATTATCGCTTGGGAGCATTAGGTTTCCTCTGTCTCCCAGAAGAAAGTATTTGGGGAAACGCGGGACTTAAGGATCAGGTAATAAAAATCAAAATAGGAATAAGAATAAAAAAGCAGAAAAAACTAATTAAATTAAATTTAGCGCTTAGCTTTACAATGGGTGCAAGATAATATTCAAGCATTTAATGGGGATCCCAATAATGTTACTCTATTTGGTGAATCGGCCGGTGCAGCTTCTGTACATCTACATGTGGTGGCTGAACATGCCAATAAACTTTTTCACAAGGCCATTATGCAAAGTGGTACTGCCAATATGGAATGGGTTTTCCAATCAAATCCTGCCTACAAAACACGTCGTTTAGCTGAACTCATGAATTTGAAAACAAGTGATACAAAGGAGTTGCTGAATTTTTTGCAATCGCCTAAGGTAACAGCCGAAGATATTTTGTCTAAAACTTTACCAATATTGACATCAGATGAACGTAGACGATGTTTGCCTCTTCCATTCAAACCCGTTATAGAAGACAGTCAAAGTCCCGATTGTTTCATTAATCGACCTATATTGGAGAGGTTACAACAACCAAATTCCATTTTTGTACCTTCAATAATGGGTTATAACTCAGCTGAAGGTTTGGCTATGTTGGTCAACGCTATAAAGAAGATAGGAGAGTATGACAAAGATTTGCATAGACTCGTGCCCAGGAATATCCCCCTAGATCCACAAGATAATGAAGTAAAAGAGATTGCCAAGAAAATGAGAGATTTTTATTTAAATGGCAAATCAATAAAACCGGAACTGTTTAACAATTTTACGGATCTACTATCGGATTATCATTTTGTGGTGGACATGCAAAAAGCGGCTGAGTGGCAAGCGAACTTACAACCGCAAGCCCCATTGTACTTTTACCGTTTTGAATACGAAGGCGATCGAAATATGTACAAACGATTGTTCCAATTAAATAAACTAGCTGGTGTTTGTCACGCGGACGAACTTTTTTACCTCTTTCAAATGGCAGATGATGATATGCCAGTCTCAGAACGCGATCAAAAAATAATAAAGCAACTTAGCAATTTGTGGGCAAATTTTGCCAAATATGCAAATCCTACCCCACGAGAGCAACCTCGATTAATAAACTGCGATTGGTTGCCCGTTAAGAAAACTGATAAAGCACAATTTTCTTTAGACTATTTAGCGATCGATAACAACGGATGCAAAATGAAAACAAATCCTGACCAAGCGCGCATGGAATTCTGGAAAAATATTTATAAATCGTATACAGCTACTGATTTGTCTCGTCTAAGCTCGAAGTTGTAAATGTTATACAAATAAAGTTAAACACATTTTTGATTACATTTAATGAATTAGTATTTTTTCTTTATTTAATCTACGTATATGTATGTATAGTTTTCTTTTTATTAATTTATTTGACTAGTTGGTTTTTTCTTTTTTATTTCATTAAAAGCTAATTGTACAAATAATAAAAACACGAAATAAAAATTCTATAGTTTTCTTTTAAATCTTGCAAATAATTTTACTTTTGCTTCTAATGCAAAATTATTGTATGTATTGTAATTGCATAGAACATACATTACGAAAAATTTGATTTTCTCATTTTGGATTATCACTTAAGTTACCAATAAAAATAAATAGAAATAAACTGAACAAAATAAATAATATAGTACATAATTGTGTAACCTAACGCATAATAATACATACATACAAATTACATACAAGTGCATTTACATTGTATGTAATTTTTAAAAGTTTTCTTTATTTAATAAAATCTACATTTACGCTTAAATCTATAAAATCTTTTGAAAATGTTTACACTTTTGTTCACATTCACAATTCTTATTAATATAATATTTTTTTCTTGTCTAGAAACATCTATAATTAATTATTTATTTATTTGTGTATGTATTTCTATTATTACATATTTCAATAATTTTGCAACTGATCTGCTGAAAGAAGTTATTATTTTGCATATCTTGAAACTTAAAAATGTATGTAAATATGTTTCAATTCTAATTGAATGTGCGTTTTTATATTCGTGTCGTTTTACTTTGAGTACTTAGTTTGAGTACTTTTGCTTAAAATCTTTTTAAAGCAAATGTACGTTTTAGGTATAAGCATATTGCCCGATGAATTAACTCGTACTGTTCAGAGTTTTGTACCATCCCACCGCGCTGTAATCGTAAATTGCATACGATGCCTAATACGTCAACAAATATATTAGACATTTTTGGCAGTTCAGCTAATGACGGTAGTCGCCAGGATGTCTCTACATAAGGTGTTATGCCCTGTGATGGTGTTGGAGTATCAACTTCGGAATTTCGTTCAGATATCTTCTGTTCCGTCTTCAAGATGTAGCGAATATAAAGAAGGGTATTTCGTGTAAAACTGCAATCAATATCAGTTGGTAAGGGATTCGCCAATGTTGTATCCTCTTCCAGAAACTGTTTGGGGAGACAAAAGTCAACCGGACTGAGGACTTGAGAAGCAGTGGCTTGTTTTGCTGCATTAGTCGCCATTGTAGTCAATGAATATGCCAGAGACTGTCTCACTTGTCGAACGCCATTCAGAATAGCAGTCAAACAGCCCGTTCGACCAATGCCTGCCGAACAGTGTATAACCGGCAGGGGTTGTACTGCATTGAAAATATCCTGTTGGTATAACTCCACTGCCTGTGCGTTGATGTGGGAGGGTGGAGTAGAGGCATCTCTGAAAACTTCAAATTCTGCCTCACATTTACCCAAATTCATAACATGTAGCGACATGTCAAGTAGGGTACTGATGTCACGGGGAGATCTATGATCCGGCCAATCAGGATACCAGTAATGGTAACAGAGAAATTTATTAATTAACAAGTGACTTGCGTTGTCATTATAGTTGGCGCAATATAAAATGATTAGCTTTCTTATGGAAAATCCATTTTTGCGCACTATACCCACATTTTTTATAACAAAAAAACTTGAACTATTTGGTAGTTGGCTTTTAAGTTCCTCTTCCACATGTACTTTAAGTGTATCCATTGTTATCATTTGAGATGATTCTCCCATGCCGCTGGCTTTTGGCATAGCAATAGTATCTTCGTCCATGCTAGACTTAAGTATGATATTCAGAAAATCTGTTAACATGTCACTCGGTTGTACAACTTCATCTCTGTGTGTACTTATAAATATCTCGTTTAATTCAACTGGAAAGTAAACCGAACACTTTTGTCTGTTGCTCTCCATGAAATTTGTAAGCATCACAATCTTCTGATAATACTGTTGTAGAGTCTTTCCCTGACGATAACTGGGACTTTCAGGGCCTTTGGATATTTGCATATATTTTTTGGTGTTTTGGTAAATCATAAGCCAAAATTCATAAATCGTATTGGGTAAAGGACCTTGTGTGGCTATGTAACATTTGGAAGTGTAATCAGGACCCTGAAAATTAAATATGAATTAATGAAATGGTATAAGGGGTTTATACAACACCGCGACTTTAATTATTGAAATTTTTGTTAATGACAAGCTTTTTGTTATTAAACTAAAAGAATAATAATTGACCTAAATCTTTGATATCAATACTTACTTTTATGTAGTTGGCATTAATATAGGGCACCTCGTCAAATGTTAGAATTTGTCTTGACATGTCGTTTAATAAGTCTTCTTCAATATCTGGGCAATTTTGTATCATGTCTATTAGGAGTTTAGATTCCTTTTCCAAAATAACTCGTGAATTTTCATTGGGCAAGATTGTTTTGTAGCGATTTTTTGTTTGGGAACCGAAAACCATTGGCTTTTCTTGATGATTTAAAGGCAAATCCCAAAATTCCTTATGTAAATTGCGAAAAATTCGCTTTTGTTCTTCTTCGTCAAGTTCAAAGGATTTTATAACATCTTTAACTACGTGCAAATACCTTTCAATAATTTCGGAATCTTCTGAATTACACACCACAGCTGGTGGGGTTTCGGCTTCTTTATTAGCGGCGGGCATGTTCAATATGGGTATAGTTTGCTCTGTTAAGGTCGTGGAATTTGCTACATAGTTGTTGTCGAAAATGTAATTTAACTTGATTAAATCGGTTTGATTTAAAGCATTCGAGGCGTTTTGTAACATTTGAATGTTGGCTAAATATATCTTAAACTCCTCACTGGTTGTTTGGGGCGATAAGGGTTTTGTCATTATGTTCCGAACGCCAGTGCATGTACAAACGGAAGATTCTTGAAAATCGAAATGCTCAGGATGCGTTTTACCACTGCCAGCAGCAGTTTGATGAGAGGAATCACGTTCGTTTGGCTTAAGGTCGGTTACAGAACCGAAACACACTTGATTGGCATTTCTCTTGTGAGCCTGATTTAGATCCGCAAACTGCGTGTTGTTGCGATTCAAGCTCTCACTGCTAAAGAATCGTCTTTGGTGCGAATGAACGGAACATGTTGATACTAACGACTGATGACTGGGTTTTACATCGTCCTCTGGTTTTGCTTCAACCAAATTTATGCTACTGTTACCTAATATACCTTTTTCACTTCCAATGCCACCAAAAGAACTGCTCATGTTTAATGTTAAGCTTTGGTTGGAACCACGTCGCTCCAGAAGACCTCTCCGGGGAGTAGCACCTAAGGATGCATTGGTTATGGGTCTCGGCTGAGTGGTTAATTGTGCCCTTTCAACATTCAAAGAATTTTGACTGGCGAAAGAATTTAAATTACCACATGATGTTGCAGTGAGATTGGTGAGAGTTAAACTTTGATTGGATCCCCTCCGTCGAAAGAGGCTCTGTTTAGCTCCTTGAGTTGTATTGACGGATGCTGTGTTGGTAGTTTGTGAACTCTGTGAAGTGGTAATATTAAGATTACAACTAGATTTCGAATTCAAATTGTTTGTAGAATTTGCCACAGAACCTAAGCTGTAGTTGGAAACACTGAGACCAGATCGACAGGATCCCAAAAGGTTGCTACAAGAACCGTGAAGATTTAAAGTAAGACTATGATTAGAACCCCTGCGCTGCAACAAATTGGTGGATGACGACGAGTTGGCAGGCTTTGCTGGAGCAGTGGGTGCCGTTGAACTTGGTAAATCCATAGATTTTTGTTTGAATGGATGATCAACATGTCCCGCAGTTGGTGTCGAAAACTCAACTAGTGTTAAGAATTCGGGCAATGTTTTCAAGTTGGTATTAGAGTTGTGCAATAAGGGATTGTGCTTGAAGGGAGTTCTATGACCCGATGATGGTGTTGAAGCACAATTACCCGAGCTTGGGGTTTGTAAAGCCGAATAACTCGATTGTGGATCAGTTAACACTTCGTCCTCCTTTAATATCACTACCGATTTGTCATCACGATTTTCACACATCTTTTTAGTAATGTCCGGTATATTAAACGAGGTGTGTTTTCTTTGGTGTAGTTGCCAATCTACACTTGTGGAGGTTGGTATCCGCCTTCTAATTGTAGTCTTATTCAATTTGCCGACAACATTGCTGTTGTGTGCCGCTAGTTGTGACAATGATGTCGACCTGGTGTTTGGCACATTTGGTCGTAAACGATCGTGAGATTGAAATATCTGTTTATTATCTTGCAAATTCGAATCGATTTCATCGCAGCTTAAATTTAGCTCTGGCTTTAACAGAGTCGCTTTCACGCAGTCTTTTGCTATAGGGGCCGAATCTAATGATAAGGCCTTTTCTTTGGTAGATTTAATTGTTGGAGTTTTCGGTTTATTCAACGAGGGAGAGCTGGGCAATTTATCCTGCCCAGTGGAGGCATTGTATTCTTGTGGAGCTTGGCCCGCTGCTGATGATGACGAGTTATTATTTATGATTTTAATAGTTAAATTATTTTTATTTTTACGATTTCTTTTGGTTTCGCTTTTAGGTTGAATTGCACTTGTTGCAGTCGCTGAATTTAATTCTCTGACGTGCATAAATTTTGCTTCCGGCTCTGTGTTTGTTGTCTCCGTCGACGAGGATGGTATATTCTTCGTTACAAGGCGTTTTAACATTTGATTGTCTTTGTTGTTGGATGAGCCATTATCATCGACACTTGCCGATGTAATCTGTTGCACTTGAACATCCTGTACTACATGATCGATTTCGGGAAACTTGAAGTAGTTCCCATTTTTGTAACCAGCCGAACTAATAACACCCAAAGGAGAAGACAAATGTAAATTATTTATGGATGTTAGTAATTTAGGCGAGTACGTCAAGCGTCCCGAAGATAGCATGGCAGCTTCCGATGACGTTAGTATTCTCGGGGAGCCGGTTTCATCTAAAATCATACTTGGTGAATTATTGCCACTCTTAGCCTCTTCATTTTTGTCCATTTTGAATTTCGGCTTAGTATTTTCTTTATCTGTTTCCACAGTACATTCGACAGACGAAGCGTTTTTTATAATCAAATGCTGGGGAGAGCAAGATCTACGTTCGTATAGCGAGAATCGGCGAAATTTCCTTTGAACATTTGGTGACGATGGTTCTAAATGCTTTATTAGAGATTTTGAGCTTGATTGCAAGATTCTCGGGCTCTGATTATCCAGTTCCAACTCTTTTGCTTGCATCACTAGTGGCATATTTTCTAATTCGATATTCGTAGGTTGAGTAACACAAGAAGTTGTCATTGGTGTCTCCGTGGTTGTATTTGTTGTAGATGCTGACGTTATTGTACAGCTACTAGCATGTATTTTTTCTACGTCCGCTAACCGTGGTGTTGGAAATTCAAATGGACTTTGTAAAAACTCCATCGGTGTAAAATACGGTGTACTTTTATTACTTTCGGTGTCATCGTCGTCATTGGTGGGAAATGAATATTCAAAGGCAGTACGTATTAAATCCTCTTCACCTCGCTGCATTGTTTCGGCTTCGTAATTGTTATTATTATTGTTGTTATTCTTTAAAGTATCCATAACGTGTTGTCGCTTCACTATCTCTCTCAAAGGTAGCTGCTGCTTTTAAGTTATAAAAGACGTACTTATGTCTGCCAAACATATTTAAATAGCTGGAAAAGGCCAACAACAAAAATAAACATACATCAGAAAATTAGAAGATAACATTGCGAACATACATATAACGCGAAATAACAAAGAAGCAGGTATTAATGATACTTGAAATTTTATTATTGTACTTACTAGTTAAACATACAATATAATAATCCTTCAGAATTGTAATCATCGTTCTAGGAAATATTAAACGTTTCTCCGCTATCTCTTATAGTAGGTACGTACTATCTATTTGATAGCAGATATTGCAGGTATTTTTCCCTTTGATTAGCGCCCTTTTGACGATATTAGCATGTCGTTTCTTAATGGTATCTTTTATTCGTTCGATATTGGTTTTCAGTTACCTATTCTATCAATAGGTCAGTAATCAAAGTATTATGTATTATTAATATATGAAAACGATATTCATACTTCCACTTTGTTTTCGATATTAATTTGAAAAATCACTGTATAAATACGTAAATGTACATGTTACTAAAAGTTAAATGAAATGCATAAAGATATTCAAATTAAGACAATTTGAAATGTAATGAACCTTACAACTCTCAACAATAACAAATTGGATGTTTCCCTTTATCTATGTATAAATTAGAGAAACTTTTAATCCTGAAATAGATAGATTTGGAATACCTCTCAAATTATACAGTTCTTTTTGCCATATGATTTTTTTGACACCCACTGTTACCTCAAATTCTACATTCTTGTAGTATAATATTTTTTAGTTGCTGCTTGTTATTTAAGTATTTGTTAATAAGAAAAAATATAAAATAATTATAAACAAATCACTGCATGCAAAGTACTTAACTAGAGTACGTATTTATTTATACAAACTTTCAACAATTGAAAAATAAGAATGAAATTAGCAACATCGACAGCAACAATATACAAAATTGTTTTTCTTGTTTTTTTTTTTTGTATGTTTTTGTTTTTCGCATCTAATGGATGTCTATTTTCGTTACAATTTTATCTATTCCCCTCAATATAATACGATTGTTGTAGATGTTAAGGTAAGGTAGTGACCAAAAAAAAAAAATATATAAAAAACTCAAGTTCAGTGAAGTGTTCATCATCATTATTATTAAACTTTGCTCAAATACAACTAAATATGGATTGTACTATTTACATACATATGTATAGATAGATGTATTTTATACATTTGTTTGTACATTGTAAGGAGGGGAATTATTATTATATTTTTTATTTATTGATATTTAAAATTTTACGCATAATTTTATTTTAAATTCTTTATCAATGGTTTATTTCCAGATCTAATTTTCTATAAATTTATTTATATTTTTTCTTTAACTCTGCATGAGTCCTCATCTTCCAACTTATTTTTTATTAATGAGTTGTCATGGCCCGTATTTTTAACAGTTTTATTATTAAACTTCCGTCGTTTACTTTTTGGTATTCGTTAAATGTTAAATATATTAATTATTAATGTTTTATTTGCAAATTTAAATAGATTATTCGATATTTCAATGAATTTATTTAAACGTTCTATAAAGAATATGCTATTATATTATACACAATAGTGAACTAATTTCTCATTTTTCAACGAGTATCTGTTAGATACAACGAACAAAGACCTGAACCGACACATATTAACGACGACGGCGGCTGACACAAAAAATTGGGCGACGGCCTAAAATCAGCTGAAAATTCACAACTTAATGTTCTGGCGTTTATGTGTTACATTATTTTTAAATTTACTGTTAACTGTTCTTGTCACGGTAGCGTTAGTAGTGCCGCGACGTTCTATTTAATACCTATAATTTTATAACTTTTTTGAAAAAAGAAAAAAAAAGAGAAAGAAAGAAAAAAAAAGAACCGGAAAGAAAGAAGGAGATAAAAAAAGAGAGAAAGAGAAAAAATAAAAATGAATGAAAATATCTATTTACACCAAACACTTTAGTAAAGACCACAATAAAAACATATGTTTCGGTGGTCTTTTCCAATGATTGACAATGTTACTGAGAGTAACAGCAACAGAAGAAGAACAATGTTCTGAATGCAATTCTGTTAAAAATAACAGTTTGTCGTGATGTCAATTTCAATGTGAAAAAATTCGACATATTCGACTCTGTAGTCATCTCATTCAAACTGAACCACTTATGGGCAAAGTTTGCTCATAGACTCTTTCAGTGGCGGTAACAAGAAGCTCAAAAATTTCTAAAGTAATTTTGTATTAGATTTTTAAAATTTAGTAGAACTAATTAGTATAAGCTTTTTAAAATTTTTTAGAACTAAACAACATTCTTTATTAATTCCACAAATATTTATTTATTTATTTTCCGTAGGTACTCCACCTTTTTTTGAAAATGAAAACATTTTTTGCCAATATGGAAAATATTAATTTAAATTGAGATTTTGCATTTGAGAATTTTCACTTGAAAGAAAGAAAGAAAATAGAATATTCGACTTTTCATTTGAAAATCAGGAATGCTCTATTAAGAGTTTTATAATTAAAATTTATAATTTTATAAATTTGGTCAAAATTCCTGATTTGAAAGATGTTTATTATAACTTAAATTACAAAAAGACGACTTTTTTGTCGAGAATTTAAGATAAGCCTCAGCAAAGTAGCTAAAGATGGAGTTACACAAGCGCAAGCGGTGCGCGAATTTTAATAAATTAAAACTAGTTCAATGGTGAAAAATAAATAAAAGCTGTAGAAAGTTCCTTATAAATAATAAATTGTCGCTTAAAATGCGTAGAATGTAAATTGAAGAGTAGAATTCGAAGAAGGTTGAAAAGAACGCAAAGCTTTGACGCGAAAACGCGTAGTGTGGACCTTCAGCTTAAGAAGAATGTCTGGCAACATTGCCGGATTATTTTCTTCAAACTGTCATTTCATTGTTGAGAAAAATTTTAGATTCGTGTTGGAATAATTAAATTTGTAAAACTCTTAAAAGTTCATTAATAAAATATCGAAAAAAGCCTGTAAATTTGTAAAAATTTTAAACATGAAAATTTTGTAACAAGTTGATCGCTTAATATAATGTAAGCAAGCGTTGAAAGCCAAATAAAATGTTTGGTTTTTTATGGCTGCGCTCATATGAGGAATAGAAAAAAGTAGGGAAACAAAGAAAATATTAAACAAATTTCATTGGGAAAACTAAATAAATAAAAAAGTATGTTAAAAATTAATACTAAGAAGAAAAGGTAGACATTTGAAATTATTCAAAAGTAAAAAATAAAATAAAATATTTTTCCGAAAACGATAAAGACGTATTTACCGTTGAAATATTAAAACAAAAGTGATTCATCGTTATCAGAGTTACTACATATTTACACTCCTCCCGTCTCCCGATATATATTATGAACAACTTCTCCATCATTGGTGTTTGTTGCACTTGTTTCGTCGTATGCGAGTGAATTATATTTTGCTGATTATTTTTGTGATTTCGTGATTTCTTCATTCTCATATACGAGAAACACTACCTCCGGCAGCTGATACATTTAATACATTGAAATGATTAAGTGAATGGTCTCGATCAGCAGCTTCATTTTCACTTTATTTACATTTTGTTAAACGGAGGCAAATTTTATAAGATGGATTTGGTAGATATAGATCAGGTTTTGGACAACTTGGAGTTACACGAAGAGGCTGAAAATGAACAGAGAAAGGCAGAGGAAAAACTTTCTAAAAGTACTCAACCCTCCAAGTCGTCTACTAGTACAAACAATGGCTATCTGCAGCAAACACAAGAAGAAAAATCCTGTTTTAAAGCAGTTTCTCAGGTTTTCAATAGTCTGGATGACTACTGCAGAAATGTAGAGTCCTTGGATTCTAATCTTTCAAATGCAACTGTTTCCGAAATATGTCAGAGATCTCATGATGATTATGACAATGGTCAAAGATTTCAACCCCAACATTTGGCCAGCTCTTCTAAGCAGGAATTAGCTGAGTATGAAAATGAAGTGGAAGAAAGTAAAGATATTCATAAATTCACAGAGCAAAGACGTCATAAGCTAAAAGCTGATAATGAATCTGCAGAACGGGATACTACTGATTCTAATAATTCATTTACTTCGGAATCTTTGACGACATCCTCGAATTCAACCTTCTCTTCGGGACCTTCTTTTGAAGTAGAGTCATCTTTGGAAGAGGCCATTCCTGCAACCAATTCAAAAGAAAATAAATCTATTGACGCAGAAATTGAAAGTTCTCACTTAAGTAAAGTGGAAGATATTGATACAATTCCAACCAAAGAACCCCAGGAAACAGCAAAAGGTAATCAAAGAGAGGAACTAGACGAGCGCAAAGAAGAACATTTACTAGAAACTACAGATACGCAGCAAAAAATTGTAGTTGAGGATAACAAGAGTCACAACATTGAAGATCTGGCACAAGGTTTATCGTCGATTTCTATAACTAGTGTTAATTTTCAGTCACAATCGATATTGCCTTTAGAGACTTCGATATCATCATCGTCGTTAGGCAAAGTCTTAGATAATCTTACGGATTCAGAAGATACTTCAGCCCTCAGCCAAATAAGGGATATATCCGACAAAGTGGCTACGTCAGAAACTAAACTAACTTCAATTGTTTCCGAACCACCCAATACATCAGTAGAAGTTGTTAATGAATCTATACAGCAGCCGCAAAGTACACGTTTACATCAAATAGACCAGCTCCATCCGCAAATTGCTGGAAATCAGCCACAACCATTTGAATATGTTCCCGAAAAAATGGAGGCTCAAATGCAAATCCAGCAACCCATAACGTTTTGCTCTACTATGGATGATATTTCAGATACAGAATTGGATTCAATGTTGCAGGAAATGGACATCGATGAAGAGGGAGCAGACGACCAACAAAAGTCTAAGCCAGAATTCGTTCCAATCGCAAACTCTGCTGAAACAGAGCATTTGGAAATTCAAAACAGTGAAAATAAAGAGCAAGACGCTGATGCAAAGTTCGAACAAAAAGAAGAAGTCGCATCAGTATCCAGCTCAGGGGATCATCCTAATGGCGACAGTTTTTCTCAAGCTTCAACAGTAGAGTTTTCTGAAATAAGGCCCCAGATAGAAAATGAAAACGATGTGGCCGAATCAGAAAACAATATGGTGATAAATTCGGCAGTTTCGTCGTACAGTAACAGCGAATCTTCTTCATTGGAGGGCGATATAATTCGTCCAAAAAACTTAGAAGTAGAAGATGACGAGGACGGAAATAGACCTCAAAGGCCGACCTCACTGGATTTGCCAGCTATACAAGCTCTAGACTTGTATGCAAATGCTGGACAAACTCCGCCGGGTAGTGAGCAACAACAACAACAGCAACCGGAGCAAGAACAAGGGCAGACGGAGTTACAGACTCCTTCACCTGACGTTGAACCACAGGAAAACCCAATAACAAGTGATGTGGCCGAAGCGACTGGATACAGTGAGGATCCGAATGCAAATTTAGGCAAAGTTCCTCCAATATGGGTTCCCGATAACATGGCAACAGGTTGTATGCAATGTTCAGCTAAATTTACTATGATTAAACGTAGACATCATTGTCGCGCATGCGGCAAAGTTCTGTGCTCAGTCTGTTGCTCTCAGAAATTCAAGTTGGAATTTCTCACCGAACCGGAGTCTAGAGTCTGTGTACAATGTTATCTAATTCTGACCCAAAGACAAACACAAAGTGTGATAAATTCGAGTATAAATGAGCCGACATCTTCTAACCTTACACAAGACACAACTGCCGTAATAAACGACAACGTCGCTCCAGCAGCTCGTTCTCCTAATCCCAATAATCCGATGGAGTATTGTTCTACTATTCCGCCGTATCGACAAGTCAGCACCGAACCCAAAACACCACCCAGTGTCATTGTCCCTGTAGGAGTACTGAAGAAAGATAACGGAAGTTATTCATCAAATTCCTCTAACTCCAGCGGCCAAAAAGCACGCAAACGCAAATCTGTTATGTTTAGCGATGGTATAGCACCGGGTAGTGATCTGGCTAGCATAGATCAGTGGAATGAACCCAAACAACCGCGACGACAAAGTGACCGTTCAAATAGAAACTCAAACGGTAACAATAAACCACCAACACCTGCGCGCTCCGAACATATAACGGACGCCACTACAATGGGTCTGGTAGCCCAGTTATTTAGAGGTTCAATACCACCTTCGGCAGCTGCAGCCACAGTAAATACCGTGCAATCAAATTCAAATACGAATACTTCAAAAGGAACAGGTATGTTTGAGTCGAATTACCCACCACGCTCAAGATATAAAATGCAAATATGAAATCTTCACTATATATATTTTAGTATCGAAACAAAGCACTTCTTCAACAAATAATAATAGTACATCAACTGCAATTTCAAAAAATCAGGACAACAGTCGTGCCAAACGTTTGCCACCATCGGGATGTGATGACCATGGCTGCTTTATACCTGCGACCGAGGGAACTTTACCACCCATTGTGATTGCAAAAGATGAAAGTGGTTGTGACTACGACTACAAGGATGTGGCCAATAATTATGATTTAGTAAAGCGTTTACAAAACGAAACTCTTAAGTTTGCAGTGCAAAAAAATTTCTTTGTTTTTGTTAAAATCGTCAATTGTAAGTACTCGACAACAAACCTTAAATTTAATTAACATTTACCAAACAAATCAATCAAGAATTTTATGCATCACAGATTTAGTAAATGTAATTTTATGTATTTCAGTGAAATGTTGTTTAAACCGTACAGTCATTAATTTCACTACCAATGGTATGCATCATGTTGGCAACGATGAGATTGTCATTTTATTGGAGTTTGAACCACCAGCCTCGAAAGAAGATGTTTCAGTTGGCAACCTAATTCCTAAAGACATTTTTGTCCATTTAAATGAAATTTATAACAACGCCGAATCTGGAAATCCTATCCAAGATTTAACTCACACCAGTCCCCAACAACCTAATTTCCTAGGATCTCGAGATTATGGGGGTTTTATATTTATACGACCGACTTTTCAATGTATGCAGGACATTATTCTACCAGACAATCCATATTTAATCGGAATACTGATACATCGTTATGAAGTTCCATGGGCCAAAGTATTTCCTTTACGTTTAATGCTACGATTGGGTGCCCAATATCGTTACTATCCCTGTCCACATGTGTCGATGGTAAATAGGGATTCCGTTTATGCTGAAATCGCACAGACAATTATAAACTTTTTGGCAGTGAGTTGTTTTTTTTTAGAAATACTTTTCCATTGACTAAATTTGTTTTGTTTTAGGATTTTCGCAATTACTCATACACATTGCCATTTATTAGAGGAATGTACATTCACATGGAAGATCGTCAAACTACGGTTGTGATACCAAGAAACCGTTTAGAAGACGTTATTAAGGCTATTAATAATTCCAGCGATCATATTTTGGCTTTTGGAGGAAATTTTTCAAAGACAGCCGATGGTCATTTAGTATGCATGCAGAATGTAAACGATGATCGCACTGAAATGTATGCATATTCTACGCAAGCTATCAATATACAAGGACAGCCCAGAAAAGGTAACACTTGAGTTGAGATATTTACATCATATAGATCAGGATTTAAAATGCACATTTCGTTTTACAGTTACCGGTGCAAGTTTTTTTGTTCTGAATGAATCATTGAAAACCACAAGCGGCTTATCTGGAAAATGTAGTATTGTAGAAGACGGTTTAATGGTACAGATTTTACCTTCAAAAATGGAAGAAGTACGCAACTCGTTAAAAAATCAAACTGATGTTACCATCATTTGTGGCCCTGTAGATGCCGATGAACAACACACGGAAATTGTTTGCCTCAAATGGGTAGACAATGATAAAGAATTTAATATCGGGTACAATTTATATTGCCTAATATGTTATATTTTTTGCTTATAAATAATTAATTACAGAGTGAAATCGCCAATAGATGATCGGCTAATGGATGGCATATCAAGTATGCGGGTTCATGCCAGTTTTAATTATTCCAATTCAAATTATGCCATTCGTCTGACCGACATTTACGTAGTTAAGGTGTGTATGTCACCAATCAATTTATATTTAGCTATTTTAATTAAAGAAACATTATTTAATTTTAGTACGATAACTGGTATAATACTAACTCCTCGACAATAAGCGCAGCCACAACTACAGATATAACACGTATGACTGAACAAATTGCTCGAAGCACATCAATGGCCCTTGTGCCTTTTCTGGATCTTTTAGCAGCCAGTAAGAGTACAAAAATAGGTCTTAGAGCAACGTTACATCAAGATAATGTAAGTACATTTTTTATTCCAATAACATACTTTGCACTATATAAATTACTTTCACCCATGGTATTTAAATTTGCAATTAAAAATACATATTTACAATTTTTGGTACAAGGTCCTTTAATTAATTACTAACACAAGCATTTTTTGGTTATTCCAATGATTTTATTTTATTCATTAGGGAAAACGGTTTTATCATTAAAAATCTCTATAAATGTGAATTATAAAAGAATAGTTTCTAAAATTCAAATGCAGGACCGCATTTAATAGCTCTTTCTCTAGTATAATTTACGTGCTGTTTAAATGATAGTTTTCTGTCTAATATAATTCCCAGATATTTAATGCTGTCTTTCAGGGTAATATGGGGAGTTCATGTAGGAATACATGTCATCTGCCTAAAAAGATACTTCATGATATCTACGAACAGTAATATCGGAAATATATATTAAGTAATTAAAGAGCAGACGATAACAACCATAGGAATTTCAATTTCTAAATCCAATAATCTTGCCTATTTCTACTGTATTGAATCTTAAATTTTTTCCAATACTCATAAACGATTAGGAAATTTAGCAATGGTTTATAAGAGGAATTTGGTGTGGACAAAATGTTTAATAAACCATAAAGAATTCTTTATAATTTATTTAGGTAAAAGTCGTTAAAAGGCAATTACGCTACAGTGATTATATAATGAATATTGTTTATTCTATTAATTATAAGATAATTTTCACATTTATTAGTATATTTTGAGTACTACCTCTACACTTTAACTAATTAAAAAAAACAGACATAGAAAATAATATTAATGTCTTTTGTGACATTTACTTTACGTTGTAAAAGACACGATATTCTATACATATGGTAATAATTAATTAATATCTAATATATATATTTATTTACAATTTTAACAGTTTTTAAAATTCAAATTAGCATTACTAATTAACCATTTCCCACTAAATGTTTACTCATTATTTTATTGTTTTGCACATTGATTTTTGTTTCCATTATTTGTTCAAGCTTTGCAATCAGTTTTTTTAAATAACAATCACATTCACTGCATTATGTATATTACTTTCATTAAATGAGCCAATTCTCATTTGTTTTAAAGCATAAAGAAAGAAACAACATTCTTATTATATTTTTCTTCCGACAAAAAAATGTTTTTTTTTTTTTTTAATTTTTAGGTTTGCTATGAAGCTGGAACACGTGGTGAAAAATTACCACCACTGTATATGAACGCAATGGATAACCACTTGATTCCTACTCTACATAGCATATCTTCTAATATTGAAGATGCGATTATATTAGAGTTAATCTTTTACATATTAAATGTTTAGTAAATTGATATTCAAAAAAATTAATATGCGATTTAATTAATATTCTCTAACCTCTCTGTTTATTTGTTTCAATCATTCTCCCTCCAACGTTATACGACTCTTAAAAAATTCCCAATAATTAAATGGAGCCTAGAGTGCAATTAAATGAAACTAAATACTAAAAAAGTAGAGGTAAATGAAAATGGCTGCTATTATCAATAGCAACTATATATTCCAAAATAAACGATATAAAAGTTGGAAAACTTAGCAAAATTATTTTTTAATTATTTAAGATTAGTTACGATGTTGATTTTTATTTCTATTTGTTTTATTATTTTCTCACTGAATAATAGTCTCACTCTTAATCACTTGTTTTGGGGACAAATATTGTAGTTACTAAATTAGTACATAATAATATTAAATATAATAAAAATATTTGAATACGTAAATGTATTATAAATAAAAAAGAAAGAATATTTAAGAAGTAATCACACTATTATTGTTTTGCGTACATACATATGCATACATACATATATGTCTTGTATTTTAATTTTATCTGTATTTTACTATTAAATAATTAATAAAGCATAAAGTACCTTTAATGAAAAGTTAAATCAAAACTAAAATTTATTTAAAACCTGTTTCATAGATCGTACTTTTCCCGACCACCTCAATAAAAAATAATTTTGTTTTATTATTATATTTTTTTCAAATTTGCTCTAAAGAATGAAGAGACGTTTTTATACAGAACACCACTATAGTGGGGAGGGTATTATTATGAGGGATATTTTTAATGCCTTAAAGTATACCAATCGGGTCAGAATTAATTTCTGAGCCAATTAAACCTGCGCACGCTACAGGTCGCGATTTTCAAGATAATTTGATGAAATTTGGCACATAGCTTCGAATTGAAAATAGTTGAAATCGGTCCATTATTGCACCTAGACTACCTTAAATAGTTTTGAATTGAAAATGCTTAAAATCGGTTCATTTTTTTACCTAGCCCCCGTACCCCATAAATATGGCTTTGGAGCACATAATTCTGTTAAATTATTTATTTCTACAAAAATTCGCACAACTTAGTTTTATATAAGCTTAAATGATACTGTAGATTTTTGTAATGATCGGGCTTCATTTCCCCTCATATTTACCCTTGCCCCCTGTAACTCCTCGTTCAGAAATTTCTTTTTTTGACAACCAATTGTTAAAATATATCCGAATTAAGGCAAAAGACAACTTCAATGCTTTATTGTTAAAAATAATCCACATTTTTAACCTACTACTACTGGTGTAGTACTTTACATACTTACTATGGTTTTATTAATCGACTTTCGAATAATTGAACAATCGACTTTTTTTCGAAAAAAGTCGAAGTCGACTATTTTGTTCCAAAAAAGTCGATAACTATTTTGTTCCAAAAAAGTCGATAACTCGACTATCGTCTATGAAAAAAGTCTAAAATAGTCGAAAAGTCTTAAAAAGTCAAAAGAAAGGGTCGAAAACTCGAAAATAGTAGAAAAAAGTCAAAAATTTTAAAAAAGTGGAAAAAAGTCAAAAACTCGAAAAAAGTAAAAAAAAATCGAAAATTCGGAAAATGTCGAAAATTCGAAAAAAGTGAAATAGTCGAAAAGTCGAGTATTTATAAAATACTAAGAGTCGAAAAGTCGACATTTAACTAAATGCAAAAAGTCGACTTTTAACTAAATGTATTATATGGTCGGCCTCGGCCGACTATAGCTTTTTACTTGTTTTTAAATTAATTTCATTCTATCCGAAAAATACTAAAATTTCATTTGGTTTGTAAAAATAAAACAACAACGCGCTCCGTTATGTTTTTGTTTAAATAAATTACTTTATTTTCTTACAAAAGTGTTTTGTTGAAATTTTTCAATACAAAAATTGTAACTTATAATTTAATATACATATTTTTTTATTTATGTTGGGTATAAACATTGTCTTTCTTTCCAACGCTTTAATATTACTATCAAAATTCTCTTTTATTTTTTTCAATTATTTTTAATTTTTCTTCTACCATTTTTTACAAAATATATAATTTTATAATATTTTAAGCTAGATTTGATTTAACAACTTAAATTTATAATATGATCGATCTTAGCACGCAAGTTGGTTATTTTTTGTTTGTTTTTTTTTTTTAGAAGAAAAATTGTTTTAACAAAAAAGCAATAAGAAGAAAAAGGTGATAGATAACAAATTTTTATATGAAATATTTTAATCTACTCTGGAAAAGAGTAGCAAAGCGTACAATTATAATTGTTGTATTGTGTGTATGTATGTATTTTTGTTGAATGGATAATGTTAACTTCTTTACAATAATAACTTAAAATAAAAACAAACATGAAAATTAATAAAGGCGGCAAAAAGAGTATAGTTAATTAATTAATTAATTAATTAAATTAAGTTAGAGATGGAATTATTTATAGTTAACAAATTTTACAGTTCATCGTGTTTGGGGCCGGAGAATTCGTCATGTGAAATGAAACCATTTTTGTCTTTGTCTTCATGTTGGAAAATTTCTTCAACCAATTTATCATTTTCCTTAAGCATATTCTTCAATTCCTCAGAATCTTGGCCTTCAACGGCAGTCATTTGTTTCTTCAAATATTCACTGACCTAAAAGGTGTCCAAAAAATTATGTTAAATATTGTGAATATGTATCGTATATAACAAATATTTACAAAGAACTTTTTTTTAAATTGTGCATTGAAATGAGTTTTTTGTGTTAATGTGAATAGGGAAATGTTAGTGTTGTTATTGTATTAACAATTGTTGATAGATAGTAATTATAGTCAAACCACCCTTTAATGATTTTAACAACTAACAACTGAGGAAATGAATAAAAAAGTGCGATCCATACATAAACGTTTACCTCTTCGCGGCTCAATTGCTTATCACCATTTCCATCGATTTCCTTGAAAACATTGGTGGTTGGTGGGCTGTTGCTAATGTTGATGAGTTCAACATCAAAGATCAAAGTAGCTTTGGGAGGAATAACATTACCGGCACCACGATCACCATAACCCAACTCTGGGGGGATGGTCAATTTACGTTTTTCACCTAGAAAACAAATAAATTTTAAATTTGAGAGTGTGTTTGAAAAAACTTCAAATATTTAATACTTACCCACACACATATCAACTAAACCTTGATCCCAGCCTTTGATAACCTGACCAGCACCCAATTGGAAAGTAAAAGGTTGATCACGATCCAAACTAGAAGAAATTAAAAAAATACATTTATTAAAGAGATAAATATTGAAATTGTAAAAAAATAACATTTTTGTGTTTGTAAAAAATGTATTTCAAGGGTCCTTAGCAAAAAGGTGAAATAAACGTCCTAAAGAGCTCTCCACTTTACATGAAGTATTTTAAATTTTTTTTTTTCCTTTCCACATACTTGTTTCAACAATCCATCATTTATATTTGTGTGGGAAAAATAAAAAATCGTTATGTCGTTATGGAAAATATGAAATGTACATGGTATGTATGTACGAACTTGTGATTCAAATGTAGAATAATATTTAATATGAGAGAATAAGAAGTAGTTAAAACTCGGGTATTAGATTTTCCTCTACATATGTATGTATTTTAAGAAATTAAAATCTCTAGAATATAATTTTATTTTACCAATAAATGCATAACAACATACATATTTGACAGAGGCAACTTTTCTTAAATGAGCGAAAGTTGCGAATATAAAATGTTTCGTTTGTCACAATATTTGTACTAATGTTCGCTAAATAAATGACACACGGGGGTAAATAAAAAATTATTATCATAACTTGCAACTTATCGCAAGGGGGAGTTGTAAATGTTACTGCCATCATTTGTAGTTTGTCTCCAAGGACAAAGATGTTTGGTTTGCAACAATTTTGTAAGTCGTTTTTTATTTTTATTTTCTTTAACATTATCGTTACAATATTGTACATACATATGTACATAAATGCTAGTGTACCCTACAGATGAAGTGTATTAAATTTATTAATGTTTACATTTTGTAATTCCTATTCTCAAATTTTTCTTCAGTTTTAACATTAAAAATTCAACGATATATTTGCCTACAATCAAAACGATATTGTTTCCAAAAAAAAACTAAATGCCAACTTACGATTATCACTTTTTAAGAAAGAAAGTTTAAATGCAAAAAGAGCACAGCCTCCCATTGCAACACTTTAAAAAATAAAGTTACCGAAAGTTTTACAAACAACTTGTCCTTTAGACAGACAAACATGATTTGCCTGTTGTAGTCACAGACAAAATACAAGTGAAGATTTTTTTAACAAGTGATATAAAAAATAATAAATAAAATACAAGCGGTGGCTTTAAATATTTTATATGCCCTCCTCTGGGCTTTTGAAACAATTCAAATTTGTACAGGAGCAGCAAATAACACGACAACATAATCAAACAACAAAACAGTTGTTCTTTTTATAACAAATGAGAAGCTTAACTAACAGTTTCCATACAATGATGAAGCATTCTAACAAGGCATAATGTTTTTCTGCTTGAAAAAAACTCCTTTAAGGATAATACAACCGTAATACGCATACATACATGTAAAATAAGAAACAAACATCAAATGTCATGGAAAACACATTTCGCTGAAACAGCGGTAGTCGACAGGAGTGGGTTTGTTGTTTAACACTTAAAATAAATGCGTTTATAAAAAGATGCTAAATAAATATTCACCAACCGAATAAAAAGTTGTGTTTGGTTGAGAGTGTTTAGATACATAATGTTATATTTAGTCTTTATAGGATTAGGTAGGATCTTCAACATGTGTTTACAATATACACCTTCCATATAAGCAGTCATATTTTAAAACCTATGTATACGAATACCTTGAATTTTTATTGCATTTGTTTTTATATTTTTTTTATTTCAATGTGAATTTTTTTCCAACATGACACTTGGCTTCCGTTTTTCATCTAAAGTTTTCATAGCAGAGATTACCTGGCGATGATGATGATTCTACGACAAACATCTTATATGTTTGTAATATTTGCATATTTTTATTACATACATATTTTCAAACATTTTTCGTTTGTGTTTATATTTTTTTTAGAAGTGGTGGGCATCCCAATGAATAATTTGTTCACATTATTATTATGCAGTCCAAAATCTGTCGAATATCGTTTAATATTTTCTATTTCAGATGAAATGAAAGTAAATTAAAATTTAAGCTACGAGTAGTTAGGAAAGGTAAATAAACGCAAAATTATTTCACGGTATTATATGCTCTTATAATGCCGCTTTAAAAACCCGATATGTTCGTTGGGATATTGGAATATTGTATTTTTTATTTGTCTTTGGTTTTTATATTCGATTTATACTGAGTTTTTTTTTTTGTTTATTGCGAATGCATATCTAATTTTATGATTGTATTTGTATATTTATACATGAATTTACTCACATCTTAGAGCATTAGTATGGCTCCAATCAAGCAAAACCAAAAAAAATGTATACAAATTTGCTGGAAAATTATATTACCCCCCATCAGGAGCAAACACCGAACGTTCTATTTGTTGCCATTACTGGGAATACTAAATATTTTTGGAAATGGTATGTTTTTTAGTTGGAAGTTCATTTAGATGCCATCCTAATTTACATACTTTTTTTATGTTATCACAAAATCTAGAGTTTTATTTTTATTAGATTGTTGAGTAGATCAGAATTTATGGTTTTTATATTAATACAATACTCAGGCGTATCATTTTACTTTACAACCGTGTTTTAGCTAGAGTGTCAGAGATTGATTTATGATCATTAAATTCATAATTGTTATTTTTATGATTACATATATGCACATATTTGTAAATAATGAATTTTAAATCATAAATTAATGTCACATGTTTCATTTTATTTTTAAGCTAAATTTTGCATTATATGCAAAACATTTTGTATGGGTCCAGTTATCGCCAATAATCTTAAAACTAAAAAAACTTGAATACTTATTAGTAACATGTGTGGACTTGTAGTCGAGCATTTGCGACCCTAAAATGTTCCGTTTCTGAGAGAATTAAAGTTATTATAAATGTTTACTTTCATACATCATATAAACTCAACCGCTATTAATCCAAGATTTATATGCGTTCATATGATAGCGGTAAAAGGTGGAGTCTAACAGCTTAATTATGGAGCGAGATTTAAGGAATTAGATGGAACAATAATGACATATTAATATATGTGGGCTAAGATCAATTATAAATCTGTCGTTATAAAATTTGGTACAGGGACTAAGGTTACCAGTTTTAAATCGGTACCTTTAAATATACACAATGTTGTATACATATCATGTGTTAAAAGTATACTCTTTCGTTTGTTAAACAAATAAATAAAAACTTTATTTTATTGCCGGAATTAATTTGTTATTGATGGTAGATTATGAATATTTAATCATCTTGTAAACAGTTAATTGTATTGTAACATATATTTTGTGTTGTTATTTTTGTCGCGAAGTATCTGCCACATGATGAAGTTGATTCAACAAACACATAGTACATCTGTTTGCATACGTACCACATCCATATTTTTACTGCTCCATCATTCTAGCGTCACATTCATCATGTGATGATGAATTGATTAAATGAATGACAAACCAAAAATCGACAGGTGCAAGCATCCGCCTGCCTATCAATTGTTTTAAATATTAAATATAGATTGAAATGCATGCAGACTTTGTTTTATTAATATTGTGTTTTTTTATATAAGATAATTGAAAATCAAGGTTTAATCTTTATAGTAAAAATGCTGAAGCATTTAATAGCCATAAAGACACCAACAAACAGACAAAACATGTTTAGTTTATTAGCAAGTTTTTTATAAACATTTATTGGAGTGCGTTAAAATGGTTAAAGTTTCATAACTGTTTTTCAAGTTGGCCTTAAAGTGTTATGGACAGATAGATAGTTGGATAATGTAAGGTGGTGTAAGTGTAAGATCATCTTAAATTGTTGTCATTGTGGTCATTCAACTTACAACCGGCAGCAAGCCAGACTTTCACTAAACAATTTCAAAACTCCTTAACACAACATAATAAAATACAAGAAAACTCAAAACAGACCAAATACGGCAATTTATAACATGTACTTGGGAAAAAATCAACATGCAGCATCGTCATTGTATGCTGACTGCATTCCTAGCATGTGGCTGAAGGTGACTACGGTGGTTGGTGATGATGAAAAAATGAACTATAAAATAGTGAGTGTTATAACAACAACAACAACAAAATGGACTTATTCAAAGTCAGAGAAAATATTAAAACAATGTTGAATAATGTTATGATGCCAAAAAAATACCGGATAATTTATCTACCAACTTGGGGCTTCGTTGCAAGCTCAACACCAACCAGTTCCATTGGAAAAACAACTTTTATGACTAAGGTCTTTTTTCGTCTCAGAGAAGAGACAAGAAATATTGTGTTGTTTTTTTATTTTGTTACTTTTTTCGTTACCGGCCCGGTTTTAAATAACACAAGTTACAAATTATTTTAGTTTAGTTTTTGCCGCACTCTCTTAACTGAATATGGGTATGTGTACCTTTAATTTGTTGTGTTGTTGGTGAATTTTGTATTGCATGAGCTTTCACCGTATTTTAGGGTAAATGAAAGAAATTCTTATTTCTTGCACTGATTTTAATATTTTCTTCATTTTATAATACTTAAATATGTTTTACCTATTATTACCTATAATTTCAGAATTTTTACAGAATTTCAAATTTTTTCATTAAAAATAAAGCTCTGCATTCGAATTCGAATAAAATTGACATCGAAAAATAAATCTGGTTCACCTCGATTTTGTAATTCATATGAATTCCTATTCGTTCCTAGAAGCTTAATTTAAATTCGTTTTCGTCGTATAAATATTCTTTAGGAAACCTGAAAGTAAAACCAAAAACACATTTATGTTTTGCCGCCGTTTATCATTTTAAATAATGAATACGAAATGTCAACAGAAAAAATTCATCATATATAAAACTTGATGGGAAGAAGCCCGAGTTATGAATTCATAAATAAATTAGAATTTATTTAGTTTTATCTCACACAACCAAGTTAGAAATTTAGGTTTTCAGGTCACATGCTCATATGCTAATTAATAAGAGACGGGTTAAAGAGCGAGTTGGCAAAAACTTGTTGCCTTTCAAGAAGGTAAATTACAATGAAATATCTAGTAAATGTTTGTTAAAGTAGAGAATAAGTATATATAAATATAAAA